GTGCGGTGCAATTAGCCACCGAGTCCCCCTCCTCCCTCTCCTTCGTGCAGCATCGGAAGAAGATCGGTAAAAACCGCGGCGCGAGAGATGTACCGGAGAAAATTACCCCAAGATAAAGTCCAAGTTATACCCCTCGTTAAACTGACTCGGGAGAACGGGGTTCGTTCGTCGCTCGATTCTCGCTCGCGTCTCATTCCTCGTCCGCGCCTCCATCCGTATCTCCTCCTCGTTGTACAAATTATACGGGGACGACAGTTTTCGCGACCTTAATGCGTTCGTCGCGCGTGCCAGTTTCACGGCCGAATCGATAGACGCGGAGATAGGAGGCGCGAGCAAAATTTATCGCTCGTTAAGAGGCACGGAGAGAAAGAGGGAAGGGAGAGAGGGAGAGAGAGAGAGATTCGAAAGAAAAACCTGTCTTCGATAAAATTCGATTTCGAGCCAATCTCTCTCTCTCTCTTTCTCTCTATCGTTCTCTCTGGACGATATCGAGCGNCCGGTCGAAGAGAGTCGGTCGGTTCGCGAATAAATCACGGAATCAATTCCGATACGTAGTCGATGCCGCCATAAATAAAATCCGTTAGATATCGTAGATCGGGGGAGAGGGTAGATGGAAAAGCGAAGGGAGAGAGGGGGCGAAACAAATGACAGCGCATAAGCGGGCAGAAACATTCGAAAGTTGGTCCGTGCCACGCTCGACACGGGTTGCGCGCGCGAAAATTTGAAATTCAAAGCGGTAGTGTGCAGCGGTGGTAGACCCCCTCCCCCCTCCCCCGATAAGAGGCTCGGACTCGGTGCAAAAATACGCATTAGCGGATTTGAAATTTAGATGGCCATGGTGGTCATCCGAGCGAAATCGAGTACCGGCCCTCGAAAACAGGCCGATTTACGCCAGGTTTCCCCGCCACTCTTTTAACGACCCTCTTGAAACGAGCGAGGAAACACGGTGGAGGAGGGACGCGGCCACGCGAAACAAACTCCTTCAGACGTCGTCTCCCCTTCCGCTACTTCCTTTCCCGCTCTCTTTTCCTTCTTCGAACCATCGACGGTTACACACATTTACCGCAAAGTTACGCGATTGCGTCCTTCGCGACCGGAAGGTAAACGCGCCCACCACTTTGCTCTTCGTACTTACTTGTCATGTATGTGATGTACTGCGAGTCGCTGATGTTTCCTGAAACAAGCTCGTTGAGTCCGCGTATCATCGTCGTAAAGTATCGTGCGTCGGAGGAGAACGCCTCGTGGACCTCCTCCAACCCGTTCGTCCAGTTATTTACGAGTACTGCGATTCCTTTCTCCTTTCTTTTTTCTTTTTTTCATTCGTCAGAAATTTAGGCGTCGATTCTCGCGAATAGAGGGAGCGCA